ACACACACACACACACACACACACACACACACACACACACACATCAACGTGCACACAGAAAAAGTGAAAGATAATTTGATTTATATGAAACCTCACAACAGATGCTTTTAGTATCTATATTATTAACCCAGCTGGTCAGATGAGGTGCTTGATGTTCATAAATGAACCTAGAGCTATGTGGGTTCCTCCAAAGCAATTCTACCCCATCCACTGGAGAAAACTGGCCCAGGAACACATTAGTGATGTGAAGGCTATCCATGCTTTCCTCTGTTCCTCAATGTCTCCCTTGAGACCAACCTCCTCCCCAACTTCTCCCATTCATATAAACCCACTGAGGGAAGCTTCATCATGAGGTCACTGGCACCTGACTTTCAATCTACAGGTCAAGCAGTCAGATCTGTAACATGACAGAGATTTCCCTGTGAGTGATGGTAAGGCACTGTTGGAAGAATTAGCTTCCAATGGCCACAAAACCCAGAGGGATGCATGAGATAAATACATCTATGGGGGGCTGATCTTTCTCTTCCTTCCCTTATTTTTAGTCTATATGGCCAGAGTAGAATGAGTACTTTTTAAATTTTTATTTATTATTTTTATTTTATGTGTATGCCTGTATTGCCTGCATGTAGGAAAGTGCGCCCATGTCGTGCAATGCCCGCAGAGGACAGAAGAGGCTGTTGGATCCCCCGGAACTGGAGTTATGGACAGTTGCTAGCTGCCATGTGGGTGCTGGGATTCGAAGCTGGGTCTTCTGCAAGAACAACCAGTGTTCTTAACTGCTGAGCCATCCCTCCAGCCCCAGAATGGGTATTTTTTAGACAGGGTTTCACATATTCCAGGCTGGCCTTGAACTTGTTATATAGCTGATGATGACCTTGACTTCTCATCCTCTCACCTCCAACTTCACAGTACTGGAATTGCAGGAATACACTACCATGTTGGGGGATTATGCAGTGCTGGGAATTGAAACCAGGGTCCATGCAAGCTAGGTAAGCATCTACCTGCTGAGCCACATCCTCGGCACCCTAAAGTATGTATTAAAGTGGCATTAATTATAGCAAAATTTCTTTTGTCTTCAAATTGTTTCTTAGTGGGGAAAATATTTTAAAATATCAGTCTGACCTTTTCTCACTATTTCTCCAAACCTCTCAATAAAAGAATGAAAATAATAAGCCAGTACTGTTTTTATTTGAGAATTTTCAGTATTTTTGGAAGAAATAATACCTCCTTTAAAACCTGTCTTTTCTTCTTAAATATTAATAGGCACCTCCTCTACAACCTTCACTACCTTGTACAATGAAGGGGGGAAAGAAGCAGAGTCAACACACCTAGGCTGATGATTAACTAACAGTTATAAAGAACTAGGATTTGACAAAACTTTCATTTTCTCCTGTTGATGGTGATGTTAGTGAGAAGTGGGGTCAGGATTCTTAGAAAAGAAAGTCTAAGGGGCTGGAAGACTAGCTCTGTTGATACTTGTAAGCATGAGGACCTGATCCTCAAAACCACCCTTAAGAAGCGGGTTGTGTTAGCCCACTCTTGCAGTCCCTATGACTGGGGAGGCAGAGGCAGGCAGATCTTTGGGGCTTGCTAGCCAGTCAGCATAGCCTGTTTGGTGAGTTCCAAGGAGGAACCCTGTCTTAAAATACAAGGTTGATGGTGCCTGAGGAATGATACCCAAAGATATCCCTAATATCCATTTGCACACACGCACATGTGCATCCACATGAACACACACACACACACACACACACACACACACACAAGCACACACATTTTTTAAAAAGAAAACAGAAACTGAGTTAAATGGTTCCTAGGGAATCAGAATTCAGTCTCTGCTGTTATAAATAAGAGGACCCTCGCTCAGGTGGCCATGGTGAAAGATGCTTTAAGTTGATCTACAATGGGTTACTCATCACAACAGTGATATGGTAAGGTCCATGGTAAAAGATGCTTCAGGATGATCTATTGGGATTACAAATATATGCCACTATACTCAGCTTTTTTATGTGGATTCTAGAGATAAAACTCAGGTCTTCATGATTGCCTTTCCAACTGAGCCATCTCCTCGGGCCCTAATTTGACTCTTAAACTACTTTTCAAAGGAAATAGATACCTTGTCTCATCTCTCAGGCATTCCATTGAACACCTAATGAAGGTATGAGGTCCCCAAAATGTCAAAAGATCATTCAGGAGTTGGGTGTACCTATAATCACAGGTACTCAGAAGACTGAGAAGGGAGGATAGATTGAGCCAGGAATTTGAGGAAAAAGTGTAAGCAATATATGAGATCACATCTCAAAAACAACAGCAACAAACCTTCCTCCTACTCTTCCTTCTCTCTTTTTAGACAGGGACTCACATAAACCCAAGCTGGTCCCACACTCACTATGAAGCTAAAGATGACCTTGAACTCCTGATCTTCCTACCTCTCCCTCCTAATTTTATTTGGTGCTGGATATGGAACCCAGGTCTTCGTGCATGCTAGACAAGCACTCTACCAACTAAACTACATCCTCAGCCCAGATACAGGATTTTCTTTCTGTAGAAATATATGAAGTAAAAGGAAAATTGAATTGAGTGTAAATATTGACTAGGTGACGTATGGGTATAGGCAGGATACATGGGAAGACAGTGTCTAAAAGGATGGAGTTCAGGATCCTGTGCCTGGAGGATGCCCCTTGGCTGCAGTCTCCCTCTTTACTCGTTAAGTCTAACTGTACTTCTCTCCACTACAGAGGTTCGGTTACGGAGGCTGGGTACAGCTCCAACACCATGACAAGGTGAGTTTCTCCTGAGTACAGCCACAGGTGTGATTTAGGGACAGAGTGCACCCTGCATAGTTTTCTACAGGCTGGGCCTCCAGGAAACTCAATTCTTCTATCCCTGCATTAAGCTCGCAACACACAAGGAAGCAGCACTGCTATTTCTCAAAATTAGTAGAAAAAATGGGAATGACTTCAAACAGCAACATTTATGAAGATAAAAACTAGAATTAAAACTCCACTATGAAATCTCTCTTTGAAATTTTTATTTTGTCATATTTGCCCTAAAACCAATTTTAGCATTTACTGCTCTTTCCCAATAAAGAGACTTGGCCCTCTCTATAGGTTATTACAGTATATTAACGCTGACCAAATAAATGGAAGGGTTAAGAGAAATCAAATGTTGTAAAGGGGAGAAGCCACTATTATTAAGGGCTGAGTTTAATATGATAAGAGGAAAGGCATGGGGCAAAGCACTCTGTAGATACGAGGCCTAAGAGGGAGCTGCAGACCAGACCTCCATCCTCAGAGGCATTGTATACTCTATCAGACAGCAAAGGAAACATTCTTGAGCTTGTAGCTGGGCTAAAATAGGCCTGGAGGACTTGTGGTCTAGAAAAAACACTTATGAGTAGAGTTAATCTGATGCACTTTGATGAGATTAGGATTGTCTAAGCACTGGGTGCTAAGGAACAGAGATCTGGGCCTGGGGAGATGGTTCAGCTGATAAAGTGTTTCCCAAACAAGCATGAGGCCCTCAGTTCCATCCCCCAGCACCCATTTCAAAATCCAGTCATGACTGGGCATGCCTGTAATACTAGTGTTGAGAAGGTAGAGACAGGAGGGACCCTGGGTCTTGCTGGCTAATCAATCCTGTCTCAAAAACTAAGGTGCAGAGTGATTGAGGAAGACACCTGATGTTGATCTTCAGCCTCTATAAGGATATACAAATTTATGAGCACACACATACACAATCATCTACAAACACACACACACACACACACACACACACACACACACACACACACACACACCACAGAACACAAAATGCAA